TTTCATGCAGGCTTTGTTAGTTACAGCCAGGAGAGGTGTGGCTAGGGCTGCATAAACAAAAATAAAAAAGTTATTTAACTCCTAAACGGTAGAGAATGGAACAGAAAGAATGCATGGGCATGATCTATACACCAAAACTTCTTCATTAAATCACAGTTGTTTAGGTGGCTATAGTGTCCCTTTAAGTAGTTTTGGTGTATAAAGCATGCCCTGCACTCTCACGAGTTACGTCACTTTTGTTTCTGTAGTCCTAGCCACAACAAGCCTGGTTGTCACCCATATTGCCTCTGTGGAAAAATGGTTTAATTTTTAATCAGATCTTACAGCACAGTGGGTTTATTTTAGAGGTTCTTATCCTCTGGTCTGTTAATTATTATTATTGTCATTTATATAGCGGCAACAGTTTCCGTTAACTGAACGTTTTTCGCACAGAATAGGTTGTTGCAGGTTTTAGATGGCTATAAAAAGCACAGAAGATAAGAAATTTAAAAAAAAAACAAAAAACAAACAATCAAGCATATTTTTCAGGAAAATTGTAAAGCGCATGTGCGAGTCACAGCCAGGTGAGGTTTGGCTAGATCTGCATAAGTAATTTAACTCTGAAATGGCAGAGAATTGAGCAGAGAGTAATCTATACACCATATAACCATTTAATTAAACTTAAGTTGTTTTGGTGCTTCAAGTCTCCTTTTAATGTGAACTTTCATGATACGTTCCATTTAATGGTACCCATAAAATTTGAAATATAACAATAGACAAGGGTTGCATACTAATCACCTAACATAAATACTGGAATTGGATTTTGTTTTCTTTCATCAATTTAAAATTGATTGCATTTGAGTGGGACCTTAATAAATTATCATCTGTGGACAGGAAAAAAGAGCTGCATTACAGATGTCTTTAAAGGACGATACATATTGTTTAAAAGTTAATTCCTACCAAATCAAATGATGAAATAATAAAGATTTAGATATTCTTCTTGATAGAAAAAAATAAATACAACTGAATTAAAACAGCTGTCACATTTCAGTATTTTATAAAGATAGAAGTTATATTGCGTAATAAACTTAAATGGACACTGTAAACACCCAGACCACTTCAGCAAATTGAATTGGTCTGGGAGCAGTGTCCTGTCCTCCTTAGTCCTGCAATGTAAAACATTGCGGATTTAGAGAAAGTGCAATGTTTACCAGACAGCCACTGGAGGCGCTTCCCATAAGAAAGCATTGATCCAATGTTTTCCTTTGGGGCGGGCCTAAAGTGCTTGCAGCGCATGCGCATTAGCTACCCCTCTCGTTGGATTACATTGAAGGAGCTGTACTATCCCACCCAGCATCAAAGGACATCGGCGCTGGAATCAGGAACGTAAATAAATGTTTTGTTTTTTTAAAGCCTTCATCTACAGGGAGGGCATAAAAACATTGAAAGCAACTTAACATCTGGTCGAAAATTAAACCATTTTCCATGCAGTCTGGGTGAGTCACAGGCAGGCGAGGTGTGGTCATTGGCAGCATAAACAGAGCCATAACTGATTTAACTCCTAAATGGCAGAGAATTGAGCAGTGAGACTGCAGGGGCATGATATTTACACCAAAACTGCTTCATTAAGCTAAAGTTGTTTTGGTGGCTATAGTGTCCCTTTAATTATGAAAGTCATATTTAAGCATTGACTCTTACCGAAGAATAATCCCTGCGATGTGTCCATAATCCAGAGAGAACCTGAAAATGAAACACATGTCAGTCATGGAAAAAAACCAAAACAAAACAATCGCAACATCTAAAAGGTGGAAAAAAACTAATTGAGATAAATAAATCTGAAGAATTGGAGATAACACAATAGTTAAAAAGGAACGGATAACCAGGAAATATGATGGCGTTAAAGGAAAACTCCAAGCACCATAAAAACGACAGCCTGTTGTCGAGGCTAAAGTGCCAGAAGCGACCTGGCACAGTCCCACAGTATTATGTCAACCTGTTTTAGCAAGGTTCGACAAAGTAACTGGGCTCCACCAGCCGCATCCGCTCTTCTCTAGCAGAAGAAATGTAACTGGTTTGTAGAGCAAAAGAGGGTCAAGTAGGACTTTTTCGCTGAAACCTGGGAGCATCTGCTGAGTGCACTTCTTCATAAAAGCATATCAATTAAACTGTTAATAGCTCCCGACTGACTCCTCTTCTGCAACTGTCACTAGTCTAATACTATCATTACCTTTTTGTGTCATTTTACCCCACTCCCTCTAGCATGTAAGCTCATTGAGCAGGGCCCTCAACCCCTCTGTTCCTGTGTGTCCCACTTCTCTGGTTACAACTACATGTCTGTTCGTCCACCCATTGTAAAGCGCTGCGGAATTTGACGGCGCTCTATAACTATCATGACAATAATAGTAACAAATGCTGTCCTGCCCCAGCTGCGAGTTATTCTCCAGATATAGAGGATGTGCCCACAGGCAACCGGTGGTACCCGGGTAAGTTATCACATTACACTAACACGGTTTAATTAACATCTCTCCAATGGGCAGCACCAAGGCACCATAACAACTTCAAGGCTGTCCCTTTACTTATGACCCGGTGTATTATTTCAGATGTTTCCATTTTGTTCCAGACATGTTGGGTTAATGACAGCAGCCTGATTTAACCCATTAGTGTCCTGCCTGGTGCCACATTCTGACAGCAATACAAACCATGTGAGATTGACAGCTGTGTGGGGTCCATGGAGGGTCTCATTACCTGCCTGGGCTGCCCTGACACAGGAGACAGCAGTAGACGATAGGCTGCTGAGGCTGTGCGAGCCGCCATGATGGAGGTTGCTAAGGGGTTTGACACTGTGCCTGCGCCAACCACTTCAATGTGAAAGGCTAGCGCGCATGCGCCCAGAACTTCCTGCTTGGTCTGTCACTGCGCATGCGCGCATATCCCCGCCTTAGCCTGTCACTGCGCATGCGCACATATCCTCCACCTTAGTCTGTCATTGCGCATGCGCCCATATCCATCCGCCTTAGTCCGTCACTGCGCATGCGCTTAGTGGCGCGTCCAAAATGCGTCGAACACTACGCCATGCTTTCCGTACGATCACACCGCTGGCCGCCATTTTTAAAACGGGCAGCTAACCCGTATTCGAGGGCGTCAGTAATACATGTCAGCCTTAGAATAACTTGCAGTCATCACGTTATTTCTACGCGCAAATGAGTTAGAATTTGCCATCAGCAAATATGGCGGCGTAAAGACTGTGGACGGCTGGTCACGTGGGCTGTAACTGGGGCACGCTGGGACACGTCACCCACAGACAGCGCTGTGCGCTTCGCGCTGAGCTGGCTCTCGCAGGCTCCGCCCCCCCCCTCTCCCAGAGTCCTTAGCGGCGTGCGCTGTGAGCCGTCTTTCAGTTTGCAGCATGCAGCGGGCCGTGCGGGTGTGTGTGGCGCTCCTCCTCCTCGCCCTGGCAGGGTGCTCGGGTGAGTCTGTCACAGCATTGCCCAGTGAGGGGGGTGGGGGAGGGAGATATTACCTCTTATTTACAGCCTCCCTGCTCACACGGCTTATATGCCATATTAGAGACATTTTAATTAATTTATTTTTTGGGGGGAGGGGAGGCTGTAAAATGGCGGCCAGTGTTACTGCACAGGGAGTGGGAGCTGGCTCTGACAGGGACATTACATGGATACACTATCAGTATTACACTGTATTAACAGGATAAAACTCAGTGATCCATTCAGAAATGGACTTAAACTACACATTAATATTCTATACACCTCCCATAGAATCCACTCTGTGTATAATATAGCTATTATTGAGTTTGGATGGTGTGTAATACAGTAAACTATCAATCACTGAACAGCTAGACATAATTTATATGTTCCAGACTGAGTAAATGAATGATTACTTCACCATCTGGCTTCTCCAGCTCTAAACAAAAAAAGTCCAAAAGCTGCACAGGCTCCCATAATGATGATGATAAATGTTAGGGTGTGTGCATATAGATATATAGATTGGGCTGATTGCACTGGAACAGGTTTAGTGCATTCCTGGCACTGGAACTACTACAGTAGGCTGTAATAGTTATTGTCCTTGGTGTAAAGTAAACTCATACTATTTGGATTTAACCCCTTAAGGACTAAACTTCTGGAATAAAAGGGAATCATGACATGTCATGTGTCATTAAGGGGTTAAAAGGTGCACTACACTGTGCTGTAGAGATCTTTTACCTGATCTCTCGGAAACTCTCTTGCATAACTGTGCCTTAATGCAAACTTTCATAAACTCCTGTACTATAACCTTAAATTCACTTATCTTGCAGGACCTCCTCAAGCAGCCTTCTTCAGCCAGTGTGCGAGTTCCCGAGAGATCAGGTAACAGATCTCTGCAGGGAACCAAGTTTTTAGTGAACTAGGCATTCCCTCTGACACTGCCTTAATTTCATGTTAGACCAGTTGCATTAGCTGAGCATGTACAAAAATCAGGTGATAGTGCAATTTTAATGCTGGGCTCTATTGCCTGTACAGCAGGTTGGCCTAAGCATCATGCACTTTGCCTTACTGTAAATCCATGATGCTTGGCACACGCCGAGCCCACTTTCATGGCTGAGAGTAGTTTTATAGTACCAGTGACTTGTGAAAATTGCTGCTACTATAATTCTTTGCTGTGACAATTACGTTCTGACGTCTGCACACACAAATGAAGTGCAGTCCATGGCTCAGCCAATACTAAAACACCGGTTCAGATCAGCTGTGGTATATAATGTATGTTAACGTTTCTAGGGATGATAAACTATTTATCGCATAGTCTACTGCTGCATGGTGATTGTAGTGTCTCATAATCGAGTGAGAACAGTTTGCACCTGGCTAAATATCATGAGGATTGGAGGCTGTTGTATGATACCTTCAATGTATGACTTAGTTCATAACAAAATCTTGGTGTGCATATTATTTGGATTACATTTTTAATACAGAGGGGGTATATGTATTAGACGTTGCTATGTTTTGTAAAGGGTTTTGATTGTGTAGGATGCTACATGGCAATGGATTTATGTTGAAGTCTGATCAGTGACTCCATCATAGTGTACTCCATGTAAGAATAAACCCTGGCTCCGAACCATTGGCAGGTCTCTATTCCAGTAGATCTGTTCACTGAAGTGAGCTGTACAATTAAGATTTGATGTGGCATTCATTTTAGAAATGTAACCATAGAGCCATTGTTTAAAATACTAATTTGTTGCTTTTGAACTGTTAATATTGACATCAAAATCGTTAACACTCATACTCCCATTCTCCTACTTTTTGCCTTCTATAACCTCTCCGCACATGGCAGTTATTTAAGCTCCTTCTCCAATCATGCTGACATCACCCACAACTTTGTCTAATCCAAGTCTTCTCATAGAGAAGCACTGGATTGAAGAGTGCATACATGGCGCTACTATCACCAGCATTTGATTGCAGGACCAAATTTCACTTGGTTATGGAGATAGTGCCTCTAGTGGCTGTCAAGAAGACAGCCACTAGAGCTTTGGTTCAAAAAACCTGTTGTCCAGCCCCACTTACCAGTCCAGGATTTAGGGAGTAGCCAGGTGTCTAAGGTGTGTTTTTAGAAAGTAAAAAAAACAAAAAAACCTTAGATACAACTGGGTAATCCATAAATCCTGTACTGATAGGGAAGGCGTGAGAACTGCTTTGGGAACCACTGCTTGCTTAAGCCTGTAAATCTAAACACTGCAGTTTACTAGAGGCTTGGTTAACACATTGTAGTTCTTTTTTAGGTTTTTTTTTAACATTAAAATGTTTAAAAGTACAAGGAGAAGCGCTCTGGGTGACTTTAACAAAAAGCAGATGAGGAGTTGGACAATGTTATAATATATATTACAGGATTTGCCTGTCATAAAGTTCTTAAAGATGTGGATTGTCTTGAAAGCTTACTCATTCTACTTATCCACATAAGGTATCCTCTCTAATCTACTTGCTGGCTGCTTACAGAAGTGTCTGTAAGATAAGTAAATGTATCTGTTTAGTGAATTTTAGCAGCACTGGTATAACCCAGGACTTAAACCTAGAGAGTGCTTATAACCGTTTTTAATCTGTATTTTTTTTTAGCGGAGACCTGCACAGAACCTTCAATTATCCCATCCTACTACACTACCTCAGATGCTGTAATTTCCTCAGAAGTGGTTTTCATTGTGGAGATAACACTGACTTGCTCTAATGGGGCACAGGTTAGTCTGTCTTCCTCAGTTACCCTTCAGCCTCTGCTCTGGCTGCATGGCAATGGATTTATGGTGGGGTCTTGTGTAGTGACTCCTTCATAGTGTACCCCATGCTAAAGTGATCCACTGCTCCCAACCATTGACAGATCTGAACTTGTAGATCTGATCACTGAGGTGAGCAGCACATCCACATTGTCACCATGTTGAAAACAATAAGGACTCATGGTGTCATTTATTGTCATTTTTGTTTTTCTCATAGAATAGTTCAGCTTACTCCTTTTATTTCAATTATGGCTTATACTATGTGAGAAGAGATACAATTATCTAAATGCTTCATTGTTGCCTTTTGTTTTGCAGAATGTTGCACTTTATGCAGATGTAAATGGAAAGCAGTTTCCTGTAACTAGAGGCCAGGACATTGGACGATACCAGGTAAAATTTACACAGATATATTCCTCTTGGCATTTGTAGTTTTGTGCTGACTTTATCTTAAACCGTATTATACTTTTTTTCTTTTATCGGAAATTCACTTGGTCATTTTGGATATAGATTTATTGGAGGGTGCTTTTAGTATGGCTTCTTTGGCCTAAAACCATGTAGTGAATATCGCTGTTTCTTTTCAGTGTGGCTGAACATAGTGTTAAATTCAGTAAGGGTGTATGCATAGTAATGGATTTATGGAGGAGTCTGGTATGTGACTGCTCCATAGTGTAAGCTATGCAAGACCAAAACCACTGCTCCGAACCATTGGCATGCTTCTTACCATAGGCCTGATCACTGAAGTGAGCGGTACATTTCCATGACTGGTGTTATCTCCTGTATTTTAGACCATGGAGAAGTAATGTGACTCTAATTTGGTTATTCTTGTAACTGATGTTTGGATGCTATTGTATTTTAGGTTTCCTGGAGCCTTGAACACAAGAATGCTCGTTCTGGGACTTATGAAGTGAAGTTCTTTGATGAGGAATCTTACAGTTTGTTGAGAAAGGTAAGATGGTGGCTGATATTTTTAATTGGAGACTTTTTTTTAACATGCATTTAAAAAAAAAAAAAGAATATATTATATATTATACTTTATTAATCACTTATTCAATTTACACAGGCCCAGAGGAACAATGAAGATATATCTGCTATCAAGCCACTCTTCTCAGTAAATGTTGATCACAGGGTAAGCTTTTCTTTGGTTGACATAATGAGCAAACGAAGACGGAAAATGTGATAACTATACAAAGCATGGTAATGGATTTATGGTGGGGTCTCTCCGTGCCCTCCCATAGTGTACCCCATGCTAGATTAAGAATCTGCTCCCAACCATTGACAGACCTAAATGCCTGTAGGTTTGTTCACTGAAGTGAGCTGCACACTGAATGCCTTGTCATTAACAGATGTGTCAATCCCTGGTGGTAAAATGCTTCACTGTTTTACATTGATTTCTAGATTAAGCTGATAAACTTTTATTCACTTATCTTAAAGGAACACTATAGCTTGTGGACTAAACCTGTATTCTTAATGCTACATTGCCCCTTACTATGAGATTCCCTCTGCTGCCCTCCACCTTCCAAAAGGAGTCTCTCTGCAACGGCACAAGCCATAGAGGAGCATTGGGAATGTGATGTGCAGCGACTACCTCGTGTGCAACCAATTCAGTGCTTCTCATATGAAAACATTGAATTCAGTACTTTCATTTGAGATGCATTTTGTTCACGTGACCGTTTTACTTGGTTGTTGCAGGCGAAGTGCCTTAGGTGTCTGTCGGGAAGACTGATACTAGAAATGTTTCTACAAAACTGCAGGGTTTTACATTGCAGAGATAAAACTACAGTGCCACTGCACCCAAGTCACTTCATTCAGATGAAGTGGTTTAGGTGCATTTAGTTTTTTTAAATAGAAACATAGAAATGTATTTCTAGTGCACCATAGCATAAAGTAATTCAGCTAACTAATCTTAATTATAATCTTTTACGAAGATAGCTTTTTGGTATTTGTGAATACATATGAATTTTAGGGATCTTTGCTATATTAGTCGATAAAGTGTGAAAATATTGTGGTCAATATTCTGTTTTAACACCCCCTTATTTTTCAGGGAGCATGGAACGGTCCTTGGGTATCCACTGAGGTGCTTGCAGGACTTATTGGGATTTTGGTATATTATACGGCATACACCGCAAAGAGCAGCATCCAAGCATGAACAAAGCAATGCAGGTCCATGGAGGGTGTTAATCTCGATGTACAGAGTTCTCATGTTTTGTCAATATCCACTAATAAAATTTTCTATACAAATGGATTTTCTTCTCGCTTTTTGGCTCGATCAGTGTAGTAGAGAATGTATGTCTTGTCAGTAATTTATATATTTTAATTTTACAATGTTTTTGATAGTGAACATTAATAAATATTCTCTTTAGAATATACTCTTTATAAAGCATCTACACATTCTGCAGCGCTGTACATGGGTACAAGTAGAAAGACAAAGGTATAATACACCTGCCAATGTGTTGATGTATGGGCAGTTGGCTGCTGCAGATAAACCCTGTTATGTAATGTGGAATCTCAATTGTTCTTGTACAGCAAAGCACTTGCCATCAGCACTCTAGCATAACGATTGCAGGCCATGTAGACAAATGCAGACACCTTGCATGGGACCATCTCCCAGTGAAATGTCTGCTGAATGGTGGCGCCTGGGGGAGAATAGGGAGATATTTATTTATTTTAAATTCTCCCTCCTTGAAGCCACCATATACCAAGATAATGACATGGTAATGCATCTATTATGCATCACACAGGAAGATGCCTTTTCTCATCAGCCATGTAGCCAGTATTTCACAAATTCTGTCTTCATGGAAAAAAAAAACTGAACAATGAGACTCTAAGAAGATACTCTAAGCAAAATAATCACTAGAGTTCAGTATAGAGCAGGGGTAGTCAACCTTTTAATACCTGCCGCCCACCTTTAAATCTTGGTAAAATTTCCTTACCGCCCACCAGTGCCACAGAAACTAGTTTTATAGCGCAAGTGCGATTTTTCTACTTTTTTTATTTATTTTTAAAGAAAGGGGGGTTTTAAAAACAAATACTTAAAAAAAAAAAAAATTCTATTCGTGTCTGAGGTGCTGTGCGTTTGTGTGAGGAGCAGTGTGTATGTGTGAAGGGTGCTGTAGTTGTGCGAGAGGGGGGCAGTGTGCATATGGTCTATGCTGTGTGTGGGTGAGATGTGAATATCTATTTTAATGTCTCCACTTTTTTGAGCTTTTTACCAGAGGCAGGGGGACATAATGCTGCAAGCCGTGGTGGTCCAGTGGTGGCATGTTCACTTTAGTCTACAGCTCCTTTGGCTGCAGGCTGACACTCCTGTCCTCCTGCGAGCACAGCGCTGAATTGGAGCGTTGACATGGTAATGCGCGGCAGCGCTCTGTCCAACCTGCTCATGGGAGGATCACAGAGCCGCCCATACCCTTTCCTCCCTCTGCTGGAACTAGGTGCCAGCGGCCCAGTGAAGGAAATCTTTTCTCACCAGCAAGGCTCTCTGAATGGGCCAGCAGGGGAGATGAAAGTATCTCCCCTGTCGGCCTTGGTTCATAGCAAGATCGAGGCCCACCGGACATTTTCTGCAGAACCCACCACTGCCCACCTGAAATCCCAAACCGCCCACTAGTGGGAGTTAGGGACCAGGCTGACTACCCATGGTATAGACTATTCTGTAAAGAAATTGGGTGCATTCATGTCACAGCTTCCAGGAGAGAGGAAGGCTGCTGTGAATGGATAGCAGCCAGACTAGCTAGGGTGATCTTAGGTCAGATTCAGTTGTTGTTGAACCCAAGATCACTCAAAATAACATCATAGAGGGGGGGGGTGGGGGGGGGGAGGTATTAAGAGTTGCATTATAAAATCACCATTATAAACAAAACCCTGTGAAGTGGGAGGATTCTATTAAGTTTAACTTTCTGTAGCACTACTTTATGAAAACCTGCAGGGCCTCCTGGGAGCTGTAGTTTAATTGACAGCTTTCATTATGTCCATGACCATTTTTGTATCAAGTTGGTAGACAGGGGCTACAACAGTTTGACTTATGGAGCAAAACTAATAGATCTAAATAGTGTTGTGGTGTTTGGAGTCCTTAATGGATGAATTATTAATATAGACACAGAATATAAGACATTTGCAAATTGCCTTCTCTATCGTAAATAGTACAGACTATATACATTTTGTGAATTAATGTATAACACTAAAAGCAATTGGAATGAGTGTGGATTGTATTGCACTGGGAGGGAGATCAATCTGTTATGCAAAATGGTATAGGTTGCCTTTGTAATGGCACAAGTAAAGAAAAAAAAATTCTGACATGGACAAAACAAAAGGCAAGCTATTCAGGGTTCTCTGAGCTTTTGCCTGTTCTCAGAATTTATCACATGACAAAGGCTTCATATTTTGCATAACTTTCTTTACTTTATGCCTCCAGCAGCACCAGTCAATCAGAAAAACTTTAAACCAATCAGTAACAGGCATCACATCCATATATAAAGCCCTGACAGACACATGACTTCCTATTTCTTTGCTGCTTACCAGCCAAGGCACAGGTCAGAGTATTTTGCTCCAAACTGTTTTACTGATATTGTAAATTGTCATTAGTTAAACATGTATTGCTTAACATTCAGTTTGCTCCAAACTTTTTTTTATTAATATTACTATGGTCCCTTTAGTTAGACACCTTATTCTAGACATTCAGTTTTAATCCAAACTGGTTTTCTGGATATTGTACTGGTCACTTTAATTAAACTTTATTACTTGACTTTCAGTTTGCCCCAACTGTTTTTATTAATGCTATGGTCACTTTAGGTTTTTTTTTTTTTTTTTTTAAAGGACTACTCTAGGCACCCAGACCACTTCAGCTTAATGAAGTGGTCTGGGTGCCAGGTCCAGCTAGGATTAACCCATTATTTTAAAAACATAGCAGTTTCAGAGAAATGTTTGTAAATGGGTTAATCCTTCCTCCAAAGCCTCTAGCGGCTGTCTCATTGACAGCCGCTAGAGGCGCTTGCCTGATTTTCACAGTGAGAGCACGCAAGCGTCCATAGGAAAGCATTGTAAATGCTTTCCTATGCGACCGGCTGAATGTGCACGCAGCTCAGCTGAATGGGAGGAACGGAGGAGGAGAGCTCCCCGCCCACCGCTGGAAAAGGGTAAGTTTTTACCCCTTTCCTCTCCCCAGAGCTGGGTGGGAGGGGGTCCCTGAGTGTGGGGGCACCCTCAGGGCACTATAGTGCCAGGAAAATGAGTATGTTTTCCTGGCACTATAGTGGTCCTTTAATGCTAGACATTCAGTTTTGCTCCAAACTGTTTCTGGATACGCATGACCATTTTAGTTAAACTTTATTAGCTGGTCCTGCATTTTTGACCTAAACGTTTTTCATTATTTTGCACTTGCTTTCCATTTGGACTTGTATAGTGTGATATCCTCCCCCGTTACCCTTCCCCCGAATTAACACTGTATTTTCTGCTTTATTAGCCTGTTTGGTTTTCTGTTGCTGGCACTTTTTCTTTCCTATGCTTTACTCTGGTCTTGCACGGATCGTGTTTTACCGCGAGTACGGTTTTTTATTCACTGGTGCTGGGACTTCAGGGCAGGTCTCTGGGGGTCAGGGTGGACTTTGTTCCATACTGGCGGGCCGCGATCGTATCCGTGATTGCGGGCCGCACGGCGCTTTTGCGTGCGAACGGCAGCCAACAGATTCCGTAGCGCTTTACAATATTTTGAGAGGAGGGATGTAATTCTAAATAGGACAATTACAAGAAAACTTACAGGAACAATAGGCTGAAGAGGACCCTGCTCAAACGAGCTTACAGACTATAGGAGGTGGGGTATTTAGAAACATTAGGACAGGAAATATCAAATAGGGTGGGATTGAAGCAAAGCTGGAGGAGAGCAAAGCACTGTCCCATAGAAGAGGGCAAGAGACAGCTATGTAAGGTAGAGATTACTCTGGGAGGCCATAAGCTTTCCAGAAGAGATGGGTTTTAAGGCTCTTCTTAAATGATTGAAGATTAGGGGAGAGTCTGATGGCAGTTATATGTAACTCTGCATGAATATGTAGGACTGATCCCTGCTGTGTGCATATAGTGGATGCAGTACTCATGGCTGCTGGCAGTTTGCTCTATTCTGTTCTATACAATTGTCATGTTGAATAACAGTTTTATTGTACGTCTGGAGGATTATGAATGGACTGTTCCCTGCTGTGTGCTTATAGTGGATGCATTACTCTATCCGCTGGCAGGAAAATTAAATAGAGCTGATAACTTACTCAGCTCCCTACTCCCACTGGACCTCACAACTACTGGATACACTCCTTCCCCACAGGGATACACCTCCCAGAA